CTAAGACCCAGGTTCCTTCCATCGTTCCTGTCTTGCATCTTCAGTGTATGGATTGACATGTGTCGTGGTGTCAAAATGGCTGCAGCCACTCCAGGCATCACATCTTTATTCACGGAAATTCAGAGAAGCAAAGGAGAATTTTCTTGTCGCATGTTTAATTCTAAATACGAGGAAAAATTTCCAAGGCCCACCCACTGACTCCTCTCCAAGAAGCTTTTCTCTCCAGTCTTGGGTCAGAATCGTGTGACAATCTGAGTGGCTGACCCTGTGACACTTTCGTTTCCAGCCTCTCTCGGGCGTCTCAGCGCTCAGGTCCCCTCCCTGAGGCTCTACCCAAGAGACATCTCCACGGGTTAGAAATCCTGAGATGAATAGGAATCCTGGTATAGACCCCCATGAACCTGAAAGGGGGTGCGTGATCCGTCTTAAAATCAGTTGGTCCCTGGGCTCTCGGGTGCCTGAGGCCCTGTACATGGAGGAGACAGACCCATGCCACTGGGACTGGCCACCACGAAGGACTAGAAAGCAGACACCTCTACAGGCGGTCAGGGCAGGAAAGGAGAGAACGGACGAGGCAGGGGGTATCGGCACAACAAATGTCCCCAGAGAAACCTCAGAAAGGGCTGGAGACCAGTATCAAGGGAGGCCTGCAGGGTTCAAAGTGCACGCACAAGGACACGCGGTGGCACATCCCCGGGGCTGGCGTGTTATGGAAAACGTGAACGCGGCTGAATTAATGACATCCGCTTTGGTAACATTGCGGATGTGTCGCACTGGCGTCAGGCACATCACTGGGCGGTGTAGCCCTGATCCACCAGCTGGAATTTCAGCCTTCTGAGGGCAAGGACTGAGCGCTGTCTCCTCCTGGCACCTCTGCCCGGTGGAGTGTGCCCAGTACAGCCGGGGTCACAGTGGACTGTGGATAATGCGTTTAATGCCACTTTTTGGGTGATGAATGTGGCATCCCAGCGCCCTCCAGACTGCACAGCAATGCAAGGTGTCACCCGCGTCATAATGGATTCGAACACTTATTCGCCAAGGAAGCTGCTGCAATTGTCATTATTTACCGTGATGTCTTTTAAATTATACATGGAAACTATTTTAGCTTTTATGAGCCATGGGTGGTGGCAATTAATTGCACAGGGAGTTAGAGTTTAAGGAAATGAAAGCAATCATGCGTTCTCCATTAGGAGAGTGAGAACTCTGCCAGCGACAGAAATGAGAGGCTTGTTTTTCCCAACAGTCACCTAATGGAAACGCCCACTCAGGCCCTCCGCCCTCCACAGACTCTCACCGGGAGAGAGGCTCTCCTGCGCCAAGGCTACTTCGGCCGACTCTTCGTGAGCTGGGAGTGCTCTGACCAGTGAACATGAAGAGGGGCCAGCCAGGCTGGGCGGCTTGTCCATCACTAGAGAAGCACAACAGGCCTGCGAGCGAGAGCTGGCATGGCAGGGAGAAGGGGCCACCGTCCCCGCAGGACGCGCGACCTTCCCGGGGGTACAGGCCTGGCTGGCTGCACGGTGCTTTCTCATCGTTGATCTTATTTCATCGTTGGAACCGCTGCGGGGGGGGGGGGGGGCGGCAGGCAGGGAGGGCACTGTCCGTCTCTCTGTGGAAGTGAGGCGTCTAGGTTGAGAAAGCTTAGGCAACTCTGTCAAGGCCGCGCCCCAAGACGGGCACACTGACTCCCCCCAGTGCCACCTCCCTGGGGTGTACAAATGCCCTGTACCAGGGAGGCAATGCCCCAAGCGTAGGGTCTCTGGGAAAAAACTATTGGAAATGAAATGCTTCAAGACGGAAGTTAGTACAGGGGGAATAAATGTGCCTTCTTGACTCTGGGGTGTGTTCTCCAGGGAGGGTTTGGGGCCAGCAGTGTGGCCTCCAAGCTGACCCTAGCTTCCTGCAGAACTAGGAAACCAGCCAGGGCAAGCCCGTCAGGGAGTGGGAAGTCTCAGGAGGGTGGTGAGAAAAGAGCCGAGTCAGGACCGTGGCACCGCCCCCGGTGACGCAGCTCTGCCCCCTTGTCCCTAGGTTCTGAGTCCCAGCTTCCTTCATCTGCCACGTCCCTCCATAGGGCAGCAGGCTGGGGGCGCTCAGAGTTCAGCCTCTGGGTCTCAGGGGGCCTGGGACTTCGCCCTAACAGTGCCTGACCTCAGGGGGCGATCCGATCTTCTCTTCTCGGTTTCCTTATCTGCCCAGGCAGACACATCAATCAATTAATTTACTGGATGAATGAATTGATCTCTTGGGGCGCCTGAGAGGAAAAGAGATCAAGCAGGCCCAGCATTTAGCATGGGGCCTAGCACATATGAAGCGCTCAGTGAAGGTTGGCATTGGCTATTCCGTAGTTGTACAGGACTAAGCCAGGCCAGAAACCTGTAGAGCTATACTTAACGTAACTATGTTCATTTTGATTAGCACGTGCAAAACAGACGCTTGTCCTCTTGAACCCGTGCTATGAACACAACTTGGGACGTTGCTTTGGCGATTTCTCTCATGCAGGACCGCCACCCTCTGCGGATGCCTCGTCGTGGCGTTCAGGAGAAGGCGAGGCCTAGAGTGGCCCCCCAGCCCTGCCGTTCCAAGAGGCCAGCTCACATTCTGCAAACCGAGGGCGGTGAAACCGCACAGCCCTTCCTTCTCACTTCTGATCTGGGTGGAGTCCCAGCGTGCCACCCTCTCAGAAACCCTCGGTGTGCAATTTCCTCTCCGAAACTGAAGTGGCCCCATTGGCAGTCAGAGGTCATGCAAAACAAACGCATCAGGGGCCCCAGTGTCTGGGCAAATTCTATGTGAACCAGGTGCCAGGAGAGCCAGATGGAGAAGCTGTTTTAAGGACAAGTGAATGTGGATAGGGCATGAATTTGAGGACAGAAATGCCTTCAGAGTGACCGAGGTGGCAGATTTGGTTCCTGGCGGGCAAATGCCAAATTGTGGGCATGGGGTATCCCTGTGGATGCAGAGGAGGAAAATGAGAGGCCGGCTGGACAGGGGAGGGCTGTGACGTCAGGGAGGGCCAACTTCTCTCCTCATCCTTTATCACGTTAGGCCTCTTATCTTCTGCTGTTGGCACATAATTGTCCTTCCTTGGTACACACTAATGGGACATCAGAACGGCCTACGGGGCTGATAGCAAGATTGTTCTAAGAACACGAGCTCTGGGGACCAACGTGAGCGCAGGGAGCCGGAAGGCACGACGTCCGTGGTCTAGCACAGAAACTCACAAATGAAGAACTGAAACCATGGTCGGGGGTGGGAGTTCAGTGCGGGGGGGAAATGCTGGCAATTGCTTAGGACTAAAATTAGCCCCCACCCAAGTTGTTAGAGGTCACAGTGAGGGGGCTACTTGGGGTTATTTCGTGAGAAACAAAATGAACAGTATTGTCCAAGCACCAAGTGTCACCTGGGCCCTCAGGGACGGATTTGTTAAACCAACGTTAAATTAAGGTCGTGCTGGAAAACAAGGGTTTCCATCTTTGCTTCCTTTGAGTTCTAGTGTGTTTACTAATGAGGAGTTGCAATGGGTTTTCTAAATGGCTTTTCAAGCACTTTTCAGGTTTGTTCTTTGAAATGGCATCTGTGTCCTTTTGACATCAACAGGCTCTTACACATTTGCTCCTGTAGCAACGTGAATGATGCAGTGATTAAAAAAAAAATCACTAAGCCCACGAATGTTTTACTAATGTGTAAAGCGTCCTACCAAGTCATGGCACTGATGGATCTCACAATAGTGGTCCTAAAGAACAAAATTCTTTGTGCATTTTTATCTTAATCCAAATGTTTCATGGGAAGTAATCATTTAGAGAATGTCCACTTTAATTAAAGTTTACAACCCAGACGAACCGATGTGAAAGGCGTCGTTCAACCAGCATTTACGGAGCACAGGCTGTACGCGCAATGCCGTGCTGGGCACCAGCTGCCGCAGACCCGGCCCTTACCAGGGCGGACTCACAGCCTAGTAAGACGGGCTGTTTGAGGACTGACCATTCCCGAGTCGGGACGCCTCTGTTTAGCTCATAATTCAGCCCCTCGCAGCTCCAGACGAGAAGGCCTGGGGCGCTCCTTCGACTCCACTCTGGCCTGGGTGCGGCCCCAGCAGCCCAGTTGGAGCAGGACAGGACCACACAGGCACGGAGGAACGGTGAGCGGCCACAGCGAGGTCACGTCACCATGCGTTCTACATTTGTTAGCGGCCTGTGATCACCGAAGCTCAAAGCTACTGAGCGCCTGTCCCACGCCAGGGCCTGGATTAGCACATCCCGTCCGTTACGGTTTCATCCCCCCAGCAACCGCCATGATCCCGTTTCACATATGGGGACACTGAGGCTCGAGCCTTCAGCACAATCACAGGGCCCTGAGCATTTGAGTCAAAGTTGAAACGGGATCGTTCTGGCTCCAGAGTGAAGACCCAACCTTTGCTTAGTTTTGTCGCTGGATACCTGGCCCCGTGTGTGACGCACTGAGCCTGTCAGAGGCGTTATCTTTTCCCAAGGGTGTGGGCTGAGCACGCCGGTCTTACCGCACCCACTGTCCAAGAGGACTCAAGCCTCGGACGCCTGATGGGTTCAAGAGGAGAACTCAACCCAGTTACCAGCAGAGGCAGCCAAGACGCTGAGCAGCTTGCAATACCTAACGGTATTATACTGGCACGTGGGTATTCCCAATTTTATGTAATCAGGTGTTTTTGAAGTAATTAATAACCATGACCTGGTTGGGCTGGGGATGGGCAAGGTGTTGAGGCCACTTTCTGGCGGGTTTGTGAAAGCCACTGGCAGGCACCAGAATGGGGACGGGCACCTCTAAATCTACCACGCAGGGTGGAACAGACCCTCCAGCCAAAAAAGACGAGACAGTGGACCCAGCCACACAGAGCACTCCGTAAGGGAGGCCCAGAGAGCAAGCAGCAGAAACCATCCACAGACCAGTTCCCCAAACATTTGCTTGTATAAATAATTTATTTCTGTCACAGCGTCATATATGCATATAAAAGGGAGCGGGAACAGAAGAGGAGGGTGGTCAAGACAGAATTATAGCAGGAGGAACGAAAACAAACCAGGAGACATTGTCCCAACACCTTGACAGAGAATGGGTGAAGAGAGTTGTCCCAAAACAAAGCTGGCCTCCCTGTGTCTGTCAGAAAACATGTCCAAAGCGCCTGTGGGGAGGCCCACTTCCCTCGTGTGACACCCATCCGTGCGCCCAAGGGCAGGAGACGTCATTGACCAATGCCTGCTGCGCTGGAAGGGACCCCCGCTACCCCTGCAAGGTGGTGCTGGGGCTTATGCTTCCTGTTTGGTCAGGGATGAAATGGGCTAGTATTAGGTGAAACGTCACAGAAATCAGCTGAGACTCCTAACTATTCGTTACGACACCACAGGGTTGTACTTTACTAGACAGTTACTAACGGCTGACTGCACCCCTTCAGTCCTGTTAATGCAAAAAAAAAAAAAAAACCCAAAGTCATTTCGCATCATTTGTAAAGCACGGCAGGATGTGAACACTGACCTTAAACTTAACTGTGAGCACGAGAAGGTTACAGTATTTGGCATCTGCAATGTCACAAAATAAATATATTATTCTCTCAATAGCGTGGAAACTACCAAAATGGCAAAGTGCTTAGAAATTGTCGCATGTGAAGAAAATAAAGAGGATGGATTTTTTTTTTTAATAATTCTATACAGAATCTTCAGGTGATGGGACCAGCCCATTTAGAAATCAGTGAATATGCTGTCGATAGGCAAGCTGAAACCTTGCAGGTTTTTCAACACTGCTGAGCTCTATTTTCTCAACTGAGTCTCTACCAAAAAGACCACCATTGGAGGGGTACCCCACACGCCGACAGAAGAGAAAGGAGGATGGGCTGCTAGGGTTCTTCTTTGAAAATACCTCATCTAAGAACTGGCTTTCAAGCAGGAAGCCAGGAATTCTACCTCTGGTTCATAAATTAATTTTCCAAATGCAGTGGACAAGGGGCATGAATTTGTCATTTGACTAACTCACAAGCTTTCGTGTGATCATGCCCGACTTCTATAGGCCTCCTTCATGAATTAGTTTATAACAGCGGGGGCGGGGGAGCACACAATTCAAAGAGGAAATAAAAATCCAACAGTGAGCTTACGTTTCCCTTGTGATCCTGCGTTTCAGGGTCAGTGACAGCCTCTGCAAACCAAGACTCAGTCCTGATTATAAAGGATTTATTTAAATTCCATTATTAAAAATATCTATTCTTTCACTTTAATGTCCAAAGCCTCCTTCAAGTACACTGTCAGGTGCCCGAGTACAGGCAGCCATGACGTCACGCGCTTGCTTTTCAGCTCGGGCCTCACTGTGGTTTGCATTTGCTATGCAGGCCAGTTCCCACGAGAAGGGATGAGGAAGGACCTCATTCCGGTGCTTTTCCTGCGCTTTCAAATCCATGCAACAAGGTCAGCTTTTACAACAAGGTGGGGTTTTATTTTTTGGTGCATGACATGAAATAACTCTAATGAGATTTTTTTTTAAATGAAATACTGAAACCAGGTAGACCACCACGAACCCAATTAGAAATTGGAACATGTCACCACTTGCAGCATAAAAGGATAGAAAAGGGCAAAGCAAAGTCTTTTTTTCCCCCCCTACGGTGAATATTTCTAAGGTGAGTATTCATTTGTAGTTTTTTGGTTTTTTTTTTTAAACATGTCTGAAAACCAAAACCCGTCATCAAGCGTACGAGGAGACATCCCTAGCAATAAAACCACCTTGCAATTCAGCACACATCTGCGGCTGGGACGCTGACACAGGCCGATCAGCAGGCTAAGAGAATTTCGGATTCCACACACACAGGTCTAGTTACACCAATGACACCGTACAGAGGGAGGTCCCCGCATCCACACGCGCCCATCCACCTCGCATTCACATCCCGAGCCTTACCCTTTAAACCCCTTTAACGATCCTGCCAACAGTAAATGCATCATTTGCCACCACCTCCAATAGTTGTTTTTTGTGGGTTTTTTTTTTTTAATTTTTATTGGTCTCTGTGTGATAATGACCTGCACATGAACAGGGTCCAAGCCATCTGGATGATGTCTGATTCCAGGCTGAAAAGCGGTTGTCAACAAAAACTGGTTCCGTAGCCACCACAGATCACCAGGAAAGGCGCATCCTCGCGGCCATTCCCCAGCCAAGGCCAGCGCAGCGTCCCGGGCCCTGGGGCTGCGTATTGTTCCCGGCAGTCCTCCAACGGCCCCAAACACCGCCTCCTCAGGGCCCAGGGCAGAACAAGTGAAATTTCAACAGGGGCCGGCCCTGTGACATCAGCTCATCCAGCTTCCACTGCCCGTGAATGCAAGGAGGGGCTGTCCCCCCAGCACCTCCCGCAGCCAGCATGCCCCCCGATGGGGACTCCCGGGGTTCTGGGAGTTGCATACCTCAGGTAACGCGCAGGTGAGGGCGGGGCAGCCTGAACTTCTGGCCCTGCTGGAGTAGGAAGAAATCGCTTTTGTCTCTGACATCTGAGCCTGCCACCTGGGCGGGGAGGGCGGCCGGCAGCCCCTGCACGTCCACTCCCCGGGGCGGCCTCCCACCCCATTAGGGAGCTCCGGCGTTCAGACAAAAGGTCCCCTGAGCTCCGGGTGGGCGCAGGTGGAGGGCAGGCTGGCAAGTCAGCCTACGCACCCAGGTTAAGTCACCAATCCTGCGTCTGGGCGCAGAGACTCCGCTTGAAAAATTCGAAGCATCGCTTTGGTTCGCTGTCTTTGTTCGCGGGCGCGGGTTCTCGCACATCCATTCATTCCTGCCTGACTCACTCGCTCACTCCCCCCTCGCTCCAGAACGCTGCGGGGCGCATTACCGCTTCTTCTTCTGCTTGAGGGACTTCCTGCGTTTCAGGATCATCTCATAGAGCTTGTCCATGCCCTCGGTGAGGCCCTCGCCTATGATGGCGCAAGCCGGCTGGACGTGGTAGGTGGTTGCCGGGATGAGCTCGTGCAGCGCCAGCTGCTTCTCGATCTCGGCCACCGGCAGGGACTTGGGCAGGTCCTGCTTGTTGGCGATGACCAGCAGCGGCGTGCCCTGGTTCTCGGCGAACTTGGTCACCTTGTGCAGCTCCGTCTTGGCCTCCTCCAGCCGGTCCACGTCCACTGAGTCCACCACGTAGATGATGCCGTCCGTGCAACGGCTGTAGGATTTCCACAGCGGCCGCAGCTTCTCCTGGCCGCCCACGTCCCAGAAGTGGCAGCTGATGCCCTTGGCCGTGCCGTTGCTCAGCTTGATCTTCTCCGTGTTGAAGCCGATGGTGGGCACCGTGTTCACGAACTCGTTGAACTTGAGCCGGTAGAGCACCGTGGTCTTGCCGGCCGAGTCCAAGCCCAGCATGACGATGTGCAGGGACTGGAAGGCTGAGATGTTGGAGGAGATGTTGCCCATGGCTCCTCGCTGCGGCGCGGGCCACTGCGGCTGCAGAGGGAGGGCGCCGCCCCCCGAACGGTGACGGGCCCGCCGCGGCCGGGCGCACCTGGGCCCCGCCTGCCGCCCTCCGCCGCGACCTGCCTGGCCTCCGCGGCCCCGGGGCGCACGGGTCTGCGCGCTCAGACGCCGCGGCCCCCAAGCCCGCGCCGGCCCGGCATCGCGTCTCTCCGGCAGGCTTTTGTCTCCTGCGAAGCCGCTTCCGCTGCCGCGACGCGGGATGCTCGCGCCCGGAGCCCTCCTCCGGCCCCGGCTCGCTCTGCGGTTCTCCGGGCCGCGCCCCCGAGCTCCGGACGCTGCCCCGGCTCCCCTGGCCGGCGGCGTGGGGCTCCGGCACTCGCCTCTGCCCTGGGCGGCGCTGTGGGGCCGCTCCCGCTCCCGGGGCGAGCCTCGGAGGCGCAGGCAGGGGCGCGGGCTTCCCCGGGCGTCTCTGCCGCTTCTGTCCCCGCAGTCCCCGCGCTGCCGCCGCCGCTGCTGCCGCCGCCGCCTCTAGCCTGCCGCGGCCGGAGGGCGCCCAGCTCCGCCCCTCGCAGCCCCGCCCCGCCCGGGCCCGCCCCGCCCCCGGCCCCGCCCACGCCGCGCCCCGGGTCGGGTGTGGACTTCTCTCTGCTGGCCGTTTTCGCGCCCTTTGGAGCGCTGGAAATCGCCCGCGGAGTCCCCCTCCCGGGCCGCGCCCAGACAATGGGCCCGGGAGCCGGCTCTTCCTCCCAGGCCGGCTGACTCATCTTATAAAAATAGCTCCCGGCTACCGGAACTCTCCGCCCCCCGAGTCCTGGCCGTGGACTGCCCTGGGGGCCGCAGCCCGGGGCCTAACAGCCTGCCTCTGGGAGCGGGGTCGGGGTCCCCGCTCTGCAGGCAAGGGCGCGAGGCCCGGAATCCAGAGCGAGGCGGCCCCCAGAGGCTGCGGGGGCCCCGAGCGTGGGGTGAGAGCGCCCCGCTGGGAGGTGAGGGCGGTGGGGTCAGGTCCCCAGACCCCGAGGAGAAGGAAAGGAGGTTGCTGGCTTCAGTGAACTGCCAGCTGCACCCCGAGCCTCGCCCCTGTACCCAGCCTGTGCCCTCGGCCCTGGCCCTCCGTGATGTCCTGGCTCGCTTCCCCACCCGAGTGCCAGGCGGCTGGCTGCACCAGGCCACCACCGCACTGGGGGCTCAGGTCTGGGCCCAGGGTGCCCAGGAGGCCCAGCTGTTCCTGCCTGGTGGCAGCGATGGGTACAGGGGTCCAGCATTTGCAATCTAGGCAGAGATGCCAGCGGATTGGGGCCGGGGGGTGGAGGGAGGAGGACAAGGACTGTTTATCTCCAGATAACTCAGGCAACTGGTCGTTCCCAGACGGCCCCTCGGCTGCCTTATTTTGTTCCCACCGACCATGCTAACATCCCCTGTCAAGCATTAGCACCTCAGGAGAGCACCCTCCACCACCCTACTTTGAGAACCGAGAACCACCTGCCCCCAGATGAGCCATTCTGGCTGCAGCTGGGGATCTAGCCGCACTTGGGTGCCGAAACAAGGCATGCCCATAGTTTGGAGTCTGCGGTCCAGAAGTTACAAACACCAATGTGCTCCCCTGGTGCCCACCTCCCCTTGCTCCAGTGATTTTACTCCAGTTTGTAAACACATTCTCTCTGGGGGCAGAGGAAACAGTGCATTAGGGCAAACACACAGAGACCTGCTGTGGAGGAGAGGCAGCCGGAGGGGCGGACTGTCAAATCTGTCCAACTCCCCCAAATGGGCAGAGAGATGGAAACGGGGTCAAAGGGGACAGAAACGAATGTGATAATCATTCAGGAATAACTCGGAAATTCTATAGGCTTGCTTTCCTTCTCCGCTTTCCTTTCACGAGCTATGTATGGTAAGATACGTGATTTCCTTGGCGCTGAAACACGTGAGAAGACCACATTCTGTAGAAAGCAGGACAAGCCACCATGTCTCTGGAATTCCCATGGTGACAGCAGCCATTGCAGTCATCTGCCCTCCAGAGTGGGTCCAGGGACTGGGAAGGCAGTGTCAGGGCTGGAAATGGCCTTGCGGGTTATCCTGTCCAGACGGCCAGATGAGGAAACCGCAGCCCCGGCGCTTTTTGCTGTGCCGAGGCGGAAGCCGGCTCTGGACGGCCTGGCCCTACCCTGGAGGTGCCTGTGCCAGGGCTGGGGGCCAGCCCGCTCTCCCTCTCCCTCCCCACACACACTCTTTCAATTCAATGGGGAATGAAGTTGTAGGCAACCTGAAATCAGTGGCAAACGACAGAAATGCAACTCCAATCAAGTTGGACAAAAATGAAAATATATTCAGCGGCATAATTGAAAGTTTTGTGCGTGATTCAGGCATGGCGCGAAAGCAGTCTTTCGACCAGGAGTCTCTCTGTTTCTTCTCTGTTTCCCTCTGTCTTGATTTGTTTTCCTACAGGGATCCCTGGACTCCCCTCTTTGGTTTGCATCCTAGAGGGAAGAAGTTGTATCTCCTTCCTGTTAATGGCGACGACAGCCCGGAGGACATGTTCCTTTGGCCTTCCTGGTCCAGCCCTGCATCAAGCGTGACTGTCCACAAAGATGGAACCCCTGGGGGGTGTGGCCCAGGGGCCCAAACCGGGAAGGGGCGGCTGCAAAGAAGAATCCAGCACCCGCTCCCACAGGGCAGGGGGTGGTGAGCAAGCAGGATGGAGAAATGGTGGCATGATTTCTAGTGAGGTCATTTTGGTTATTGGGAATCCTGGGAAGAGAGAATTGTGTGTGTTGGGAGTGATTTCCTTGGCTTTCTTCAAGGCCTGCCCCGTAGGGGGCCACCTTCTCGTGAGCCCGTTTCTTCTCTCTCCTTCCTCCGAGCCACGGGCAGGGCCTCGGCTGGGCGCCGGCCAGGGACGGGGCTTCGATTAGCGGCCTGGAACCTGGGCACTTGGAAGGGCCAGGCCAGACTGGAGCCCTGTGGACCCGGCCCCCACAAATGATCTGAATGGCAACTCTGTTCCCTCACTTGCATCCGTCCCCCGGCCAGTTCTTGGTTTTATTTTAAGGACAGTAGGAGGGAAATATTTTAGTAAAACGCCCTATGTGCTTTCTCGGTGATGTGCTAATTACTGCCAACAGCGGCCCCCACCTTTTGTGCCCCCGTGGTGGGGTGTAGTCGTCAAGGGCTGTCTGTTGTCCTGCAAAAAGCCCAGGAACAGCCGTTAATAAAGCCTTCCAGAACACAGCCATTAACCAGCGACTCACTGTAATTGAATGGCAGCCACTCTGCATTCTAATTTCACTCACCAGGTGAGAAGTGGATTTTACAGTTGATGATTTAACTTCTTTCCCATAATAACGTCATTCGGCTCAGTCAGCTTTCAAACAGGAGTTGCGATGGACACACGCAGAAATCGTGAAAAGGAAAGTAGTGTTTACCACTGAGTCAGAAATGCGAGGCTCGCGCAGAACTCGGAGCCCGTTTCCACCTGGACATACGTATGTAGTGCTGTGGCTGACGGGTCGGGCTATGTCGACAGGTCGGGCGGGTGCTGTCCCCTTCCCGCCCCGTTCTAGCCCTGGGGCAATACCCCGCTCACCGTCCCTCGAGCTACCCGCCTCTAACATGCATCTAACACATGTGGTAGCTGTGAAGAATAGACAATGTAATACATGTAAAGTGTTTGGCACAGTGCCTGGCACATGGTAAGTGCTCAATAAATGTTGGCTTTGATAACTGCAAAGAAGTCACTCTTATAATGTAGAACATAGTCATTTGAGTGGTGGCGCCCCGCCCCCCCACGGTTGGCAAGCATTCCGCTGAGTAGAAAATATTGGCTGCGTGTGCTACTCTCTTCATTTTAATTAATCAGAACAAGACAGTTCTCCAAGAGGAACGTGCGCTCGCGTCTGGCCTGAGATGTGTTGCTTCCAGCAGCGGTGAGGTTTCAGCTCCCTCCCTTCTCTCCTGCATCAAGATGACTTTACCCCCAGAAAAGGACTCAGTTAGTTCAACTTAAACAGAAAACAATAACTTGGCAGTGATTTTGAAATTGTTCCCTAAAAATATTCTTTTTTTCCCTTTAAGGGCTTAGAAATAAAGCGACACCTATTAAGCTGACTTTTGAGTGGATCTAGTCAAGAGACTCACGTGCGCCACCATTACTGTCTGTGCTTTGGGAAGGCTACACGGATGCAAGGTGAACGCCCCGTCCACACCTGAGTGTGGGTAGGGGAAGAGAGCAGAGCTTGGGCGTGCGTCCCCAGGCGCGCGTCCCCAGGCGCGCACAGAAGGCACTAGGTTGTTAGCGCTCGGGTCCGCTGCCCCAGTGCTCGGCTGTGGTGGTGCAGGAGCGCCCTCTATTGAGCGTCCTGTGTAACAGAGGAAGGCCTTGGCTGGGTTAAGTTTGCCCAGTGCCTCGTAGAAAATGTACAATCCACGTCCCGTTCCTTGGAACAAATGAAGGGGTAAATGACTCCCTGACCTGGCTCTGAGTTGCCCGAGAGCCACACTTGTCAAGCTGAGAACGTGCCCCCGCCGGGGCTCAGAGCGTGGGGACGCAGCCTCTCAGATGCAGGCCTGGGTCCTGTCTGCGAGACCCGTGCAGACCGGGAGGGGTGGTTCACCAGGAGAAGGAACCAGAAAGCCCGGCAGAGCATGAAGGGGTTTCACCAGGGAAGCCATTTCGATCACAAATTGATTGGAAGAGAGAGGGACTCAGCATCCAGGAAGCCGAGCTGCGATTAGAGATTGGGAGAAATCGATTTCCGCATCTTCTTTGGTGGGCAGGCGGGGCAGCCATCCACGGAGGTAGGACCAGGAGCGGAGAAGAAAGCGGGCAACTGGGCAGAGAGCAAGGAGGCCAGGACTGCGGTTCTTTGGCGGGGGGGGGGGGGAGCATTTCCTTAAGGAGCATTTCCCGCCCACAAGCTCAGAATGTTAGCAAGTGGAGGACCGGAGTGTCCATCAACGGAGAGTCTCCTCAGGTGGGCGAAATGCCAGCCCCAGGCTGCACATGGGAGGGACTCAAAGATGC